AATCGCTGCAAAGGAATAAATGGCTACTAACGAAGAAACCAAGCAGATTAGATTGACCACTAATCAAACTAATCAATATTCTATAGTTCTCTATAATTAATAATGACCAACTAGAGGGTCATGTACGGAAACATACATACATATGAGGCTTAATTAAAGTGACATTAAAAAGTCAGTTTTTTCCCCTCCCCCCAATTTTAATGTCAGCACTTACCTTAAATGTCGTCTCCTAATCCGATCTTCCTCTTCTTTCCTGTCCTTTTCAGCCTTCTCTCCAGCGCTGCTGCGGGTCTCCGATCCAGCGCTGACTCCTCTGTCCTTGCTGGCATTTCCAGTCCCACGGGGTCTGCATGCGGGTGTATAGTACACAGACTTACCTTGCGTCTCTCCTCGTCTCCTGGCCAAAAGTCCGAACTGTGTATGGGCCGCCCCAAGATGCTTTGCGGCCGCCCAAGCAGTTTCGGATTCTCGGACGGGAGCGCGCGGCGAAGACAGGGGTAAGTTTTAACTGCTTTTAAAGCGTTTTTAAAAAAACCTTTTGCATATATCTACTGCTTGCTGGCAGTAGACATATGCAAAAAAAAAAAATGGAGGGCTTTAAGGTAAATAAGAACAGTAAAGAATCCCAGTTGCAGCTATAAATAATCCTTCAGCGGAAACACAACCCAGCATATATAAATCTATTCTACCATCCAGAAACATACCTGTCACCTTCTCACATTGTCTAGTTCGCCATTCTTTTAGCGTCTATGTGAATTTTCAGATTGTAAGAAAAATCGGGAAAATAAATAAATTAATCTGTCTAACTCCTGCTTAGCCCACGAGTAGCAGATGACAGATCATGTGAGGGCAGGCAGCACAAAGCTTCTGAGATCTGTGACCCCATTGCATATTTAGTCAGCATTAAATTCATGTAAACACCCTGAAAGGCTGAAGACCGGCTTGGAATGCCCTTGTCAGAGCACAAAGCATGTACCGGAGGAAAGGAAGAAAAGGGGAAGTTGTTCTCAGCACCCAGATTCCACCCATCGCTTATCTACGTGCTATGACAACATATGCTGCCTCTGCTTTCCCACAATTAATATTAAACATCAATGTAGACTCATGTTGTTTCAACAGCAGACTTTGTCTAAACGGCTATTGTAATTAAGCAACATCAAGAGAGTTTGTTATATCTCCCCTCTCAAGGCTATGACAAATCACTTCTGAAAGGCGTCCAACAGGTGTCATGTACTTTTCAGAGAGGCGTGCCCGAGAACAACCCAAGTTCAACGTCTTTGCCAAGTTATGTTGCCTAATGATGTGTTGCCTCTGATTGTAACATCGAAGGCTGTTTGACTGTAGATGATCTTCTAGGTTTACTGCGTTCTAAGAAGGTAGGACCTTGCCAATTTTTAACTGTGGTAGCCCACACAGTCACGAATTGCATGATGCTAAATGCTAAGGGTTTCCAGGACTCAGTAGCACATGGCAGTCCTTGGAAGAAATCACAGAAAATAAATAGAAAAATAAAGGGTCCAATAAACTATTGGTGGTGCACCAATTATTTGACTCCAGTAAAACTGATTTATGGAATGTGCAGAATAATTGTTCGAGCTGAAGGGTTATAACAATAAGAGCGCTACTAGTGCGCCAAATCTTAACAAATTCCAACGGGGGGAGATGTCCCAGAAAAGCTGCACCAAGTAAAGATTTTTTTGTGCAAATTTGGTGCAATGAAAAAGTGCAGTATCAAGCCAAGAGGATGATGGCGTCAAGATTGTAGTTTCTATGCCTAATAAACTATTTGCACTGTGACATAATAGTTAAATACACCACAATCAGATGTGTTGTGTTACACTTGGGATCCCTCTATAACCGCCAATCATAGTTTATCGGGCTCCGCCATGTCTAAATTTTCACCTCTCATCTGTTTCAGAACCTTATACCGAGTCATCCATCAAGGGTAAAAAAGTTCATTTACTGTCACCCTTCACCTCGATTTCAAGCAGAAACGTTTACTTCTCATGCAGACTTCAGATACTGATGAATCAGATGAATAACTACTTGCAACATTGTTTCTACGTCAAGACTGACCAACCATGCATCTTTCAGGCGCCAATTCCTCATATCTAGGTCACTGGATTTTGTTGTGTAGAATATAAAGGTTTGGTAAAAGTCAAGTGCACAGAAGTCTGAGATCCCAACAAGGCAAAACACTTCAACAACGAGGTCAAGGTGTACAACTGTCCTTTTTGGCATAAAGCTAGACTTCCCTTATGTTCCTTTAGGCCCCTTCAACACGGGTGCCTGTCAGTTCTGATCAGCAGGGGATCCTCACACGGATCCCCACACGGATCCCCTGCGGATTGGAGCAGTTAGTATCGGAAGTCACCATTGTGACATCCGTGTAGGTCCAGTTTTTTCCTTAATCCTGCGATGGACGAAAAAAACTGATATTTCCAGACCCATGCTGGTCTATGGGGAGTCTGGTGTAAATTAACTTGTGTCCGTTTACATCAGCTTACCCCCGATCCATCACAATCAGGTCTGCCGAAATGGAACTCTGCTCAGTTTGGTTTTTCAGACCTGGCAAGAGTCGGGATAGACAGGTATAAACGGGCGCATGTCTGTTTGGATCCGGCTCCCCATAGACTAACATTGGGCTTCCAATCAGATCTGCCTGAAAAACTGACAGATGGGCCTGATTGGAGAATCAGCGTTTCTAGAGTGGACTATACACAGAACAACAGGTTTCTATAAGTGGACTATATACATAACGACAAACTCAAAAGTGGACTATATACAGAATGATAGGCTCATAAGAGTGGCCTATATACACAAGGCCAGGCTCATAAGAGTGGACTATATACACAAGGACAGGCTCATAAGGGTGACCTATATACACAAGGACAGGCTCATAAAAGAGGATTAAAGTGGTCTATGTACATGACAGGCCCATAAATGTGGACTATAGACACAGACAGTCATATCAAGAGTGGACTGTATACACACACAAGGACAGTCATATCAAGAGTGGACTGTATACACACACAAGGACAGTCATATCAAGAATGGACTGTATAAACACACAAGGACAGTCATATCAAGAGTGGACTGTATACACAAGGACAGTCATATCAAGAGTGGACTGTATACACAAGGACAGTCATATCAAGAGTGGACTGTATACACAAAGACAGTCATATCAAGAGTGGACTGTATACACAAGGACAGTCATATCAAGAGTGGACTGTATACACAAAGACAGTCATATCAAGAGTGGACTGTATACACAAAGAAAGTCAATCAAGAGTGGACTGTATACACAAGGACAGTCATATCAAGAGTGGACTGTATACACAAGGACAGTCATATCAAGAGTGGACTGTATACACAAAGACAGTCATATCAAGAGTGGACTGTATACACAAAGACAGTCATATAAGAGTGGACTGTATACACAAAGACAGTCATATCAAGAGTGGACTGTATACACAAAGACAGTCATATAAGAGTGGACTGTATACACAAAGACAGTCATATCAAGAGTGGACTGTATACACAAAGACAGTCATATAAGAGTGGACTGTATACACAAAGGCAGTCATATATCATTGATAAAAATTTATAGAGTCTCTACACACACTACAAACGTTGCTACCTCTATGCATACATGAAATATGAACAGCTTGGTATGATCCCAGTGCTTGTTCCTGATAAATAAAAGTAGACCTGTACTAACACATACACAGACTGCAACTGCCCACTTCCTTCTGAAAACCTATCTGCCTGGCTGTCTCTCTATTCATTGTTCACTAAACAAAGCATGCAGCCAGTACAATCAGACCTGCTGATGGGACTATTCATTCAGTGTGACACAGAGCTGACGACAAGACATTGAGTTATCAGGACAGCCAGGAAAATTGTATTTTCAGAAGAACTATTTTGTCCATTCTTACCTTTTTTAATACAGTATTTTTGCCAGTATTTTCAAAAGGCAGAGGTCAGCAATGGCAGCCTACCTACATCTGCTCTTTAGAGAGTATCAATAGCCAAAACTTTGTCTTTTGCAATGTGTCCCATGAGGGAGATTTTCCTTCACTCCGAGACAAAGCAGGAAGTGTAGGGGAAATCCTCTCTTAGGCAACTGTCACCACACCAGGTGTCATTGGACGTTTCTCTTTCCAGCAATGACTGTCAATTCTCCTCACTTTAGGCCCATTGGCACATAAAACACACATTGACCCGCATTGAGATGAGTTTTTCATCACATGGCAATGCATTTACTGTGGGCTGATCTGCTTTTTTTTCTCTACAGGCCACACCAAGGGTCAATATTCTAACTTTTGTTTTTTTATTGTAATAGACGCATGGTGTTGACGCATTTTGCGCAGCATAAAAGAGGAGCCACGCTGCTGTTTAATAGAATGGACGTCAACACACATGTACAATGTGACTGGGGCACATAGAGAACAATTGTTTTCTTGGCGTCTTTGCTTTGATCAATGTACCTGCTGTGAATGAGCCTCCTTCCGCTAACAATGGTCACCTGGATATATAGGGGGGGGGGGTGAACCTCCCCCCAAGCAGGGACACAGGAGGCAATCAACACCAGACGGGGTCAATAACACCTCTTAGTTCCATAATAAAAAATGGCTTTTGATACATTTTAGAAATAAAATGATAATTGATATGTAGATGGAATGAGCAGTGAGTAGTGTTGGTGAATGAGGGGTGATCTGTCAGCGTCAGGTGTCACCCTGTACATGGTTCTCATGCCTGTCCAGTCAGTGTCCTCTCCCCTGTCATTACATTCTCCATGTCCAGCACACAGCATCGCCTAAGACCAGGCACAGCACGGCACCCTGACCCCCCTCAGCCATGCCACCAGCCGATCCACACACAGCCCCGCATCGCTCCCTCCGCCAGCTGCTGTCATCCCATTCATTGCTGGCTCTCCCTTCCCCTGCAACACTTCGTACACCTTCCCCCCAACCCTCCGCCATCCCGCTGCTTACAACTCTTTGATCAGCACCATGGCCGCTCCCTGCACCTCCCGATCTTCTCCTCCGCTGCTCCCGGCCCCGAGTGAAGGTTACCGGCCACTTCCTACTCCGCACCGCGCTGGGGGCGGAGCGTTGCTGCAGCAACTGGACACGTCACGGAGGTTCGTCACGAACGGTGCGCGATGAGATCAGGGAGTGATCTGTGAAGCTCCTCCCCCAGGATAAAACATCTGGATGCTGCTTTCTCATTACCAGTGCGCTTCTGACTGTGGTGAAACGGTGCTTACCGCCGACGCTAGAGGTCCAGTGTCAACACCTGCTGTCTCCCCTCCGGGGGCCATTTTACCGAGGTGGACGAGAGAATTCAGTAGGGGCGCAGTCGCCGAAAAAATGGTAGCTGTCATAGAGCTCAGTAAATTGAGCTTTAGACACTAGCATGCACCTGTGCGAGAAAGACACACCTGCTGTTTTGGAACTACAAGTCCCATGAGGCATTGCAAGACTCTGACAGCTAGATGCATGACTCCCAGAGGCAGAGGCATGATGGTGTTTGTAGTGTAATCACAGCTGGAGTGTGGAGGGTTGCCTACCTGTATACTGATGCTGTAAGATTTATAGAAGAAACGGTGTGTGAATGCTGCCTTTTTATTTTTCATTTTAAAAAATTTTTTTGGTAAAGAGAAGGAGTTTACGATATATACACAGACATTGTAACAGTAACATAAACATGTGCATAAATGAGCTTAATGCATCAAATATGTGGTGTACCCATATACAATGTCCCCACATGAGAAGATAAATAATTCCCCAAGGAGAAGGAAATAGGGAGAAAGAGGAAGAACACATGAACACCTGCTGGTTAACATGACAACTTACTATCCATGGAATCCAACATTAAACCAATTAGAGCCCATCGTTAACCGATACACTAAACGTGTGGCATTATTTGTTTGCATCATTCTGAAGCAATAAAGTTTATCCACACAGCCCAATTTCTTTACAGAAACAAGGTCATATTAACCCTGCGCTTGATGTATTAATTTAGTCACCTCTCTGCCCTCATTGACCCAGATAGCAAGCAAGACTTGTCAAGCAAATTTGCTACAAATTCAAAAAGTGTCAACTAGAACATGTGCTGCAAGTGGTCCGCAAGTCTACAACCTGCCAGGAATGTGTGCAGCAGGTTAACAAGAATTACAATTTAACCCTGCCACAAGTTTGTGGCAAGTTATCCTTGCTATCTGGGGACTTTCACAACAAAAGCAATTATCCATTCAACTAATTTAACAGATAGACCCCTTCTAAGGCCCGATAGATATGGGAATAGCATGACACGGGACCACCAGAGAATCATCTGGTACAGATTGTTCCCTAGCTTTCTCGAATTAACCTTCCATACAGGTTTCTTTTGGAAGGGGAATTCAGCATTGTGTTTACACTTTTTAAACTAACGTTTTTGTTTTTCGTTTACTTATTATATATTGTCTAAGAGGGTTTCATTACCCCTTGGGAATTGTGCAACTATTAGTGAATCTGAAACTCAGCTACACTGATTCAGGGCCCCTCTTATTATTGTTTAATTATATAATATGAGGACACAAACTAGCGTCCTCCCGTCACCCTAAGCTCAGTATACCACAAGCTACAGCTCGCGGTATACTGAGACGCCACAGTATACCGCGTGCTACTGCTCACGGTATACTGAGACGCCGCAGCTGAAGCGGATCCCGACAATTATGCCGGGATCCGCCCAGCTGCGTGAGTGACAGCTGGCTCTGCCTATCTACAGCTGTACCCGCCCCCTCCCCCGTCCGATCCGCCAGTCAGCGCTGGCCGATCGGAACGGTGGGAATCCAGCCCGGCAGAGAGCTGTGACAGGATCGAGAGGTGAGCGAACGCCGGTATGTGTTCGCTCACCTCCCGATCTACTGAGCCGACCTGTGACAGTCTCATTGTCACAGGTCAGCTAGACCTATGAGGTGAGTGAAAAGCACTCACCTCATAGTTCTCCTTTAACCCCTTCGTGACGGGAGACATACACTGTACGTTCAGCCACAAAGGGACCAAATGACTTGTCACGTACAATGTACGTGACGAGTTATTTGCTGCTTTAGATGGCTGGTAACCGCTGAGAAACATAATGTATCTATTCCTGAAAGAAGAATGTTTCCGTTTTCTGATCGTTGTTGGAACGTTCAGAAAACCTTAGTGACAGCTGAATCCTGAACTGCTGCAGGATCAGTGTCACTAACTTATTATTGGCTGTTCTGAAGTTTGAAACAGCCTAATAATAACCAAAAATTTATTAATTTATCAAGCAGTAATAGTGAGATTCATTCATAATGACTGCTTGATATAATTAAATAAATAAAATAAACAGTTTTAAAAAAATAGTGCAAAGTGTAAAAAAAATAAATAGTGAAAAGTGTAAAGAAAAAAAAGTGTAAAAAAATAAAAAATAAAGGACAAATAAATGAATGTATTTATTGCATTTTTCTTTTTAGCTGTGCTGGTTTTGTAAAAAATACTACAAATCAAAACTGGGTAAAAAGTGTTTTTTAAGTTTTTTCCTCTTTTTTTTATATTTTATTTGTCCTAAGTGAGGCGTTAGACACACATATGTGATATAAATATGTAGCCCTATCTGTCCTCTAAAAAACAATATATAATATGTGTGGGTGCACTTTGTAAGAAAGTATATTACTGACGTGGAAGAATCACACAGCAAAAATGTCAAAAGTGTGTCAGTCATTTACGAACAGAAACTAAAAACAAGCTCAGTCATGAAGGGGTTAAGGGTTGCACCCACAACACTGGGGTCATAGAGTTTTAAGTTGGCCTTGGAGGGTTTAGATTTCAGCTTATTCTGCTGAACTGGCTGAAATTCAAACTGTTGGTGGCCCCGTTATGTGATGCCTCTTGATCCAAACCGCTTCTTCCTTCCACTCGTTTACCAAATCAGTCCGGCGCTGGTGCCGGTCTCTGATCCAGAACAGACTCCCCAGGTCCCACGGAGTCTGTCGTGCGAGCGCGCTCCCGGCTGCCAGCGGTGCTCTCCTCCGACGATCTGTACTACGCCCACAGTTCCTCCTTCACAGCGTTCGGGAGCCGGGACTTCTGCAGCAGGAGCGAGCGGTGCTGACACAGGTAAGTTTGTTGGTATTTGCCAACTTTTTTTTTTTAATGTTGGGGCATATATCCACTGCTTACACGCCTTTAGAAATGTTTAGTAATGACAATCTACAAACACATACTTCTAGATAATTGACGGCTTTGTATTGTTTACATACCTTATTTCTCTTTTTTCCCCCAGTCTTCTGACAGTGGTCATTTTAACTAAGGTCAGGTTACTAGATCTCCCTTTACTTCCTGGAACTCTGGCTCATGTGACTAGGACATGTGACCATGCACATCATCTCAGGGGAGTAAAATGCCTTTCCCTGAGATCTCATGAGATTACAGATGAGATTTCCCAGCAATGCTCTGCTGATGTAACCTTCCCAGGAGGCAACACTTGGACCCATTACATCATTTATGCCAGAACTGGACCAGAAGGTAGCTGAACTCTATCTGTAAGTAAATGAAGAAAATGTTTAACTAATGAACGTAAGATGATTTTAAATCAGTATGCAGAGCTGTATGGTGCTGTGATTTTTAGTGAAAGGGGGTAAAGGTCCACTTTAATGCAACACGTGTTAAATTGCAATGTAACACACATGCCACATAGACTGAATAGGTTCATAGAGTAAGCATGCAGATAGACACCTAGGGGTTAATTTATAAATGATGCTGTAAGCCGCGCAGATTCCTATCTTTATCAGCGCCATCTAAGAGTGCTAGTGCTGTGCAAACGGCATATGCCCAGCTAAGCACCAGATGGAGCTTATATAAATGAACCCACTGAACTTGCATGCAAAAGCACCCAGTAGCCATTTAGCATGGACTGATGTGCCCACAGGACAGGTACATATCAACATGTATATGTACAGAATCAGAAAAAACAAAAAATCTGTGTTTGTCTTAGTAATATTCCATTGCTTGCTATAGCTACAAAGTAATTGGTTGGTCAGTATCAGTGACTGTATCTGTAGGAATGATTTATGTGGGCCGATATCCTATCATAACAATCCAATACAGATTTTAGTGGGCTTAAATACAACGTATGTGGAGCAGAACACAGCCTGCAGGGGCCCTGGGCACCTAAGCTGTACAAATTATAGCTTCTGTGAAGCACTTAGGATACAGAAGATTTTTTTGTTACTAACGCTGATGATCCCTGAGATACTGAATGACAGTTACAGTGAACCCGTCATCCATTCTGATGATGTGAAATGAAAGGTGCTGCCACAATGTTGTGGAAATTTTATTAGGATGTGTTTTTAGTATATTGTAATATTGTTATCATGTCTCTCAGTGTCAGGATTTTTGGGCTACACTCTATTGGAACGTGACCCGGATTAATCAGCACTGGGGGTAAACCATTGGAGTAGATATCTTCCTCTTGTGGATGTGGAGAAGCGGTCGCTATGCGCATATGTCTCCGCTGGCGAATGGTCCATGTGCTATGCGCTGGGCTGCTGGCCGGGGGAGATTGATGTGTGTGGTGGAGCAGTGTCTTCTTAGTAAATGTTTGGATGCCGGCGAGGGCCCCTGCGCAATGCGCGGATTTATTTGCTTGGCGTGGATGCATTTGCTTTGGGGACATAGTATAATTTTAGATACATATCTGCCTTTATGAAAGGAACGTGCGTTTGTATTTCTAGTGTGTCTGATCAACGCACTGGAAATAATATGGCGTTGTCCCTGCAGATAAGCTCGCATTCATGAGAACCGTAGCAACTTCATTGGGCATTGCTCTCTGAGCAATGCTGGATAAAGTTCGTTCTAGTGTTAACGGAAGATTAACCTCTTGCCGTCCGCCCGTTAAGAAAAAACGGACGGACGGCAGACTCGCATCCGCGGGTTGCCGTCTACAGACGGCATTTTTTCCTGCTCGCGCGCGCCCCCTAGCACTCGCGCACGGGCAGGAAAGACACGCTCGTTACTACAGCCGTTAACGGCTGTTTCACATACAACTGATCAGCGGCTCTATAGCCGCCGATCGGTTGTATGGCGGGAATTTCGGAGCGCCCCCCCCCCGCGCGATCGCGGGTGCCGCCATCTCCCCCCTCCTGACCCCTCACCTTTAATCCCGGGATCCGCTAGCCCATCTGCGGCCCGGGACCGGCTCGGGAGGGCGTCAGGAGGAGGAG